CCAGCTCTGCCCCCCCCGCTCCCGCTTACCTGCCGGCCGGCTGGGCCGCGGGGGGCTGCGCTGGAGCGCGGCCGAGGCAGGAACACGCGTGTGTGGAAGGGGGGGGAAGCATCCACGGGAGAGCGGGGAGCGCACCCGGCTTTCAAGCTGCCAGGAGGATGCTCCGCGCAGACCTCCCCGCGCAGCGGCGCATCGCCCAAAGTGGCTTTGGAGCTCCCCCCCCGCTCCTCCTCTTCGGAGCCGGGGGGAGGAAGCACAGTGTTACGGCTTCTCTTTCTCTGCCACCTCCGCGGGGCTTCCCGCTCCCTCCCTCCGCTTCCCCCCCACACTCCACGGCTCCACCGCGCACGTTAAGTGCGGAGCTAAAGCGGTTTGGGCGAAGTGCCCTCTCCTCCGGGCAGCGAGGATGCTGCAGGGAGGTCGCACTGAGCAGATTGCAGAGCCGCACGCCCTGCTCCGCCTGGGCTTTTAACTGCCTAACAGAGCCCTAACCTTATTTCAGCATCCGAGTGGTCGCTGCGCAGCCGAGGGAAGAGAGAGGAGACGTTTCTCCAGCTGGAGTTTGCAGCATCTTTCGGAGACAGCCGCAACTTGAGAAGGGTGCAGAGAGTCAGGGTACAGCCTCCCCCCCGCCTTATCACATGGCTGGTCACTGCTGCCCCGCACACCGCCAGCCTGCGGGTTATCAATAAATGATCACCTTCAAAAATTTAGATTAAATGGAAAAAGTGAAAGATGGTGTTTCACTGGCTGCAAAGCTGCGGTCACTTTGCCAGGCTTTCCAGCAGCCACTGGGAAATGGAATCTGCTTCTTGCTCTGCCACTGACTTTCTCTACAACCTTTATCACCTCACTTCACACCCTCAATTTCTCCTGTAGCTCAGGTGCTTGCTTAAACAGTGATGAAATATGTGTTTCAGTAAGAGTCAGGCACTTAAACATCTATAGATATTAGTCCCCTTTCTGTGTGAGAGGGCAGTGTCTCACCATAAGTGACTGTAGAGCTCAGTGGTAGGCTGATCTTGGCACGTTCCCTAAATGCTGTCGTGATACAAATCATCATCATCCTGGACAGACATTCCTCAAACGGGAAGAACCACTGAAAATACGCCTCGTGGAACAGGGCAGGCTACTTTTATCACAGGAAATCACTTATCAGCTAATGACCTGGAACTGCCTATTGCCTTTCAAGTTGTCCATGTGCAACTTTTCTAGTGCACATGTGAAAACCAGTAAAAAAATCTCAGTAGCTTTCACACCACAGTTCATTGTAAGTTAATAATACAGCAGCAGACTCTCACATCTTGGATAAATTCATTTAGCCTGAAAGAAAGGGTCCAAACCCCCAGCCTTAGCTCTCCCTCCTCTCACGTTCGCATAACTCAGCAATGCCCTCTTAATCAACAGGAGCTACAATACAGTTAAAATAGGGGGGAACAAGCCCACAGCATCAGATCACATTTCTCCATCTCATTTTTTACACGTGGTACCACCTTTCTTGCCTAGTGCTCCTGACACTTAACTCTGCTTCAGACCTCTAGCAAGCCTAGAAAAGGGGACAGAGAACAGGCAGAGAAGAAAAGGAGCCCCAAGCTTGCACAAAGGATTGTGAGATCTGCAGGAAAGAGAGAGAACTGGATAAACTGGTGAGAAAGGGAAAGATTTAGAGGACAGGAGACACAAATCAGCAGAAGAAAGGTCTGGGCTTGCTGCCTGGGGAACAATTTGTTGAAAGCAGGCTAGCCAGGACATCAGACATGGATTATGTAGGATCAACACCCCCAGTACATGTGGTCGGAGCAGTTCGCTTGCCGGGGCTGTTCTTACAACCAGGCTGCCGAGCCGCCAGAGACAATTGAGAGCTCTCCCTGCCCTGGTGCTGTCCTGCGCTCACATTTCCCTCCCCAACCACCTCTGTCTCAGACCCGTCTCTTAGACTCAGTTTTCCCATCCAGACAATGGAGACAGCCACATTTCTTGCACTGGGTTGCTGTCAAAATGAATTAAGTGAGGTCCAAAGAGTACTTTGAAATGCAGATATTATGCTCACTAGTTTTAATGCCTCCAAAGCGGTCTCCAGATATCTCTAAATCCTCAAGATTTCCCTGATCAATTCCTGTTTTACAGATGAGGAAGCTGAGCAGAGGGACGGATGCTTTAGTCCATCTCTTTTATGTCAGGTTCTGAGGGTCCCCCTGACCTTGCCATGGCTCAGGGTCCCAGTTACCAGCCCACAGTGACCAAGTCACATCCAAAGCCACATTTTGTTGATGACGTAGAACAAACTGTTCATACAGTGCCTCCACACCTGATTACTAACCCCCTATAAAGCTATTTCCTTTGACAAGTTAATGCCTAGGTTTGAGCTCCCAACCCCTCCCGCAACCTGGTGTTACACATATCTCCGGCATCCACTGTTCCCTGCAGGAGCCCCCCCAGAAAGTGTGAGCATTGTGGGGCTGAACTAAATCTCCCCCTGTATTTTCCTTGCCTTTGTAGGTGTACGAGGAAGGAGCAGGACACAGGAGCTTCTAGTCCCCAGGCCTGTGATCAAATTATCTCTCCCTCTGTCACACATCCTAATCATCACAGCTGGCGGTCATGCCAACAATATTAACGCTGCTGAGTAGCTTTCAGTTTTGCAATTAGCAAGGTTTTCTGCTTCCCTCATATAAAAAAATAGGCTTGTACTACTTAGTGCTGCATAAATGATACAGCTACATTCAAGGCCCACGTTAGTCTTGTTGAGATGAACCAACATTATAAGTGCTGTAGATATTTTAAATCTTTTGAAGATTACAATGGTTACAAAGCTCATTATTTCTAAATGTGTTTATCCTTCCTCTCCTTTTTGTTTGCAAAATTAGGCAATGTGCAATTTAAATAAACAACTATTGAACTATTAAACATTGATTAAAGAAAAGGATTCCATTTAAATTATTAAGTGGTAAGATAAAAAGCATCTCTTCTCTTTTGTATGTTACTTTATTCAGAAGTCAAACTTCTGTAGTCTCACTGAATGCTAATGAGTGGCATAATAATGCACAAGGGCAAGAGGGGGCTGAGTAATTAAAAACAGAGGCCAGAAATCAAAGGGCTTGAAATACACTTACCAAAATAATTCAATTATACATTAGAAACCTGGGATAATCAAGACACATCCCACAGTTTCATTCATCATTATGCCCCAATTTAATATCTATACTGGTTTGCTGTACACAAGAAGAAGCAATTGGGGCTTTCATGTGCGATGCCTCAGCTGAAGAGACAAAGGCAACATGTGCTCAGGTCCCGTTCTCATCCTGCTGTACCTTGAAAATGGCTTCACTGGACTGAGTATATTCTCAGTTTCCTGATTTAAGGGACTATTTTTAGCCACAAGCTATTTTTGTATTGGCTGTATTTTCCTTTTCTCTGTATTTGTAATTAATTAATGCAAATCTCCACACCCACCATTTTATCTTCCCTATAAATCCATCTCCCACCTCTCTCCTCGGCTTCACCTCTTCTTTTGGCTTCAGGCTTTCCTGGTTATCCACAAAAACCTCCGCCAAGCAAAGCAGCAGGTAGGTTCATTCAGCAAACCGTGTATGTAGCTAGGATGGCATCATGAGGCTCTGAGGTTTTCAGGCAACACCAGCTGGGTCAAAAAATTCTGATGTAGCTTTTCAAAGTCACCACTCTTTTGGGCCAAGGAGTCTCAGCACAGCTTCTAGTCTCCAGGATGACAAAGGAGGAGACTGTACATTTCAAGGAAATTCCAGTGCCATGTGATAAACAAGGAAAAAAGATCCAGTCTGATCTTGATCAATGATTTTGGAGTTCAGTGGAAGATTTACATGATTTTGCCTTGTGCAATCTTGATGCAATCAGCAATGACCAAACCTGGTCCCTTTGGCACTGATAACAGCTTCATGGAGGGAACTGCAAGTGATGCATTGTCAGGAACCATGGAAAAAACAGAAAAAGTGAAGAGAAGTTTCCAGCTGACAATGGATAGCACTGTTGTTCAAAAAGTTCGCAGATGCACAAGTTGTTACCTCCGTTCTGACACATAAAGCAATGACAGGTGAAAACTTGGAAACGACAGATTTCAATTAAAAAACCAGGAATTCCTGCAAAATGAACATGCAGTTGCATATCAGCTTCCTGAGGAATCAGAGTCTGATTGTCTTATTAGAATTTTTAAAGGTTTAAGCACAGAGACTACTAGTTGTCTCTAATGAGCAAAGAAGTCAAACAAAATACTGCTGTGCTTCACGAGCCAACACAGGTCGCAACATTAAACAGTAAAAAAGGGAAATAAGAATCTCAGGTCAAGTTTTCCAAAACTAGAGGTCTTAATTAAAATGAAGGTTATGGCTTTAGCAGATGGGTGCCATTTAATATAGGCCCAGCTATTACTGAGATTTGCTGCATCTTCAATTTAGAACAAAACAAAATGCTGCATGAGAATGAGCGAGCGAGTGTGCTTCAGCCTGTTTATGTCAGCGGCTAATGTGGATGTCTCTAACTTTCCCTGGCTCTATCAGCTACATCTTCCTCAATCACAAAGAGAGCTCCTTTTGAGGTGATTCAGCTTTCCCAAAAGATTCTCTTGTTAAAAATGAGATCATTAAGACAAACAAACCAGCCCGTAATATGAGCCGGAGCAGTGTTTGCTAAAGGGGGAGAGGGAAATGTACAAGTTAAGACAGATATAATTTCAACATACAGTGAAGCAGAGAGCAAAACACCCTTTTTTTCCCCCCATTTTTCTAACAAGGAATTCATTTTTAGAAGAGAAGTTACTAACATAGACATTGTTTGATTTTGCAGAGGGATAGACTGAAAGCGGGGAGGTATATGCAGAGGCAGAGCCTGAGCTATACAGGAGTCCCATTGCTCAATATTAATTTCCCAAGTTTGGTGATGAAATACTCTAATAGATATCTTAGCGACATCCTTTTCCGAGAAACAGTCTGGGGCAGTAATTCTAACAGGACAAGTCAGCTGTAATGAATCTCTTTCCTCGGCACAGATGGGACCTCACTTTACTCACGTGCTTAGCCTCTTCCACTTCCTAAGACTACATGGAGACAAGAGCAAGCAGCTCTGGCCTCTTATCTCACCTGCCTTAAACAATGTAGTAGCAAACAATAAATGAACATCATCTTCTCCTAAATATGCAATTACATGAAATACAGAAGTGACAAAACCCAGAACAACTCCACAAACACAGAGCTGGGCTCTGATTTCTATCACTATGAGATCAAAGTAGTGTAGTTGCTCATTTACAGCTCAGAGATGAATTATTTTCCCTAACTCAGGCTGTATTACTAGTCAGCTGAACTCTGTAAAGCAGAAATATCAAACTGTCTTGATATTCCTTCCACAGTAAATAACGATTTACAAAGGAGGGGAAAAAAATCTCCCTTCCCCTCCCTTTTTCAATTCATTAAGTTCAAC